TGAGGGGAGCAGCGGGAGGCAGGAGAGGTCTGCATGTCATGTGGGACCCTCCTCCGGTGGCCAGGGAGCAGCCGGGGATCGAACAGGTGCTGCAGAAGCTGTGGGCAGCTTCGCAACCCAGCGCTCAACCACTGCACCACCGGGGAGGCCGTGGCTATGTTGTTTAAATTAAACTTGTGGTGGGGCAAAGGGAAGCAGAGAAGACTCTTAGTGACCTGCAGTTTTTGTTGAGGTGGGAAAAGAAAAATTCAGATATATATTTCAGAAAAGAAGAGTCAATTGGATTTACTGATAGCCCAGAAGTAGAGTACAAAGAAAGAGAAATTCAAAGACACCAAGGTAATGTGAGCTTATTCAAAGTCTGGTGTTAATTGAAATGGGAAAGATTACAGGAAAATTGAACCCAATTTTGAATATTCAACTCAGTTTTGAATGTTGATTTTGAAGCGCCAAAAGGAGATATTAGGTAAGCAACTTAATATATGGGATCAAGTGATGAGAGGTCCAGGTTAAATATACAAATTTGGGAAATGTTAGCATACACATTAGCATTTAAAGCCATGAGACTTTATATAACATCACTAGAGAGTGAGTACAGACTTAATACTGAGCTCTGCAACAACACTGCTGGGGATTGAGAAAGAACTAGCAAAATAAAAAGAGAAAAGAAAGAAAGATAGGAGAAAAATGAGCCAAAAGAAAAAAAATGAGCATTCTGGAAGCCAAGTGAAAGCAAGTTTGAATAAGTCATGTTTAGGATATGACCAAAGCATTTACCAGTGAGGAGGTCACTTGTGTGATAATGTACTTCAATAACATATACAAATACATATTTTTGTTAACAATAACAAATACATATTTTTGTTAACAGGGTAATCCCCGGGGGAAGGGGAGGTTCCAAGCAGGGAGAAATTAGGGAAGTCTAGGAGAAGGAAGGAAATCAACAAGACCTGGAGGAGGTTCATGGAGCAGAGAGACAAGTGAAGAAGCTCCACTTGCTTTTCAGCCTTGGACTTGTACCAGAGACTTGGGAGACATGGAAGGAGATACTTGAAAGAGACAGAGATGGGGTGAGAGATCCATGGGGAGGCTGACAATGGTAGCCGCTCTTTATTTTGACTTGAGTTTTGATTCTGCTCTTTTCCTTCCAGACTTGCCTGGCCCCTTCTGCCCCTTTCCATGGGTCCCTATCAGAAGGTGCTTTAGATTTATAACAAGTTGTTGAGCCTCACTTTGGGCCAACCCTCCTTGGTTGGTCATTTACTCATGAGGGGATATAGTTAAAACTGTTTTAACTATATTTTTTCTCTTCTCTTTATTGCACACCAATTGAATTAAAGTTATTTTCTACTTAAGGTCTTATGCACTAGAGAGTATGTTTTGTCTCGATATGGTGGATAGCAGAACCCATTTAGAGCAAATCTGGGAATCCTGGGGTAAACTTCTCTTCTGCCCGCTAACATTTTAATCTTCATGCCTATCTCCTGGTCAAAAGTCCCAGACCCTTGCAATTTCTCAAGTGATAAAATTGAATGAAGCTTTTTTTTGTTTAATACTGGGTTTCCCATCCCCAGTTCCTGGAACAAAACAATAAAGGTGAAAGGAAAGTCTTATTATTACTCAAAATAGCTCTTTAAGCCACATCTGATTTTATATTAATATGGTCACTTCTGGCAAGTCCCTAAGACTAGAGGAGCAAACCAAGTGATTAAAGGGTTGAAACTTTCTATTTTATTTCCACTTCCAAATCCCACCACACCCATCTCAGGAAGGGAAAGGGTCTGGAGAATGAACTAAAGCATCAATTGCCAATGATTTAATCAATCATACCTATGCAATGTTATCGTCATAAAAAGCCTAACTGAAGGGTTCAGATTGGTGTGCCAGAGGGTACTGCAGCCCAAACTCAATGGGGATTGAAGTTCCTATAATTGAGACCCTTCCAGATTTTGTCCTATGTACCTCCGCATCCTTTATAATAAAGCAGTAAATATAGGTATCTCCCTGAGTTTTATAAAATCACTCTAGCAAATTTGAATCCAAGGAAGGGATTGTGGGAACCCCCAATTTATAGCCAATGACTCAGAAGTACAGAATCTTCAATAGAAACATTTATAATTGCCTACAATGCTGAAAGATTAAGATGGAGAGAAATAGTAAGAAATAAGAGTTAAGTTGTTCAAATAAAGTAAATAAAAACAACTGATGGGTTTTTTCTAATGGTAAATGGCAGTATCACAAAAGAATAGTTTTTCCCAAAAAGTAATTAGTTCCTTCATAGAGATTATAAATCTCACTTTTATAGATGTAAAATTATAGACTGAAAAATCATACAATTTGTCTAAAACTATTCAATTACAAAATGGTAAAACCAAGATGTCAATAAAGGTTTTTTAACTCTAAAGTTCCATTATATGGGATTCCTGTAAAGGAAATGCCCAAGTTTTTTCAGTTTTTTAAGGGTTTAAATAAGGGCCATTCCTGGAACAAATAGTTCAAATGGGGGAAAATAACACTAAAAAAGAGTAAGATTCAGATTTTTTTAATCTATTCTAAAGGCTTCAAAAACAAGAATGGTTTGACAAATAATGGTCTGAGACAACAGCAGTTAATAACTATCGATACTAACCTTTCTTTTAATCAGATTAACCGATAAATTTGTAAGAAAAAATTAAAATAAAATTTTTATAGCAAATACACAGTAAATCCAATGCACAATGATACTAAAGGGGTTCTTCTAATTTAACAAAAATATTTCAAAAGGTTAATAAAAAAATACAATGTGCTTATTGGGACTCAATGAAAGTACCTGACTTTTAAGATTACTAATTCTTTTTAGCTTGCTCTGCTCTTTAATTTTTGTTTTATAATTAACTAGTTTAAACTAAGATACATACACATATTTAACTTTGACATATATATGAGCTTATATATATTTATTTGGAACAAGACAAGGATGCTTTTATTTATATATCTATATATATATATATGAGCTTATATATATGAGCTTATAAAACCACTCAATACAAGGTAACTTTGTAAAACATGCTAAAGAACATCTATGAGAAACACAAATTTGACATCACACCTATTGCTGAAAGGCTAAATGCTTTCTCATTAGATCAGGAACAAGACAAGGATGCTTTTTTTTTTTGATCTCATGTCAACTGTGCTAACACTTCGAGAGTAAACAAGTGGTTTAGCAAGGTTTCTATGAAGAAATGACTGATCGAAAATAATGCCGGAGACACGGCACTTGTGAACTAGGAAATAGCGGAACTGCCAGTTCTGCTCCAAGGTCTTTGCCAGCAACATGACAAGGATGCTTTTAAAAAGGTTACTGTGTTCTATCAAAAGCTTTTTTGTGTCTATTAAAATGGTCATACGATTTTATCCTTTATCTATTCATACAGTTTTTGTATGTTGAATCAATCTTGTAACCTTGGTACCAATTAACTAATCCCACTTAGTAAATGGTGTACAATCCTCTTTACATATGGCCAGATTGAGTTTGGTAGCATTTTGTTGAGGACTGTTTGTCTCTATTCATAAAGAAGATTGACCTATGGTTTTAAATTTTGATGTATTTGTCTGGTTTAGATATCAGAAACATATTGACGTCACAGAATGATTAGGGAAGCATTCCTTCCTTTTATATTTTTGGAAGTTTGCTATGTGTTGGTGTTGTTCTTCTTTAAAAGATTCATAGCACAGACCAGTGAAGCCATCCATTCCTGAGATTTTCTTTGTTGGGAGGTTTTGATTACTAATGTAATCTCTTTATCATAGGTATATTTAAATTTTTGATTTCTTCTTGAGTTACTTTCTGTAATTTGTATCTTTCTTGTGATTTATCTGTTTCATCTAGGTTACAGAATTTGTTGAAATAAAATTGTTCATTGTATTCCTTTACAATCCTTTTCGTTTCAATATGTTGGGTAGTAATGTCCCTCTTTCGTTCATGATTTTAGTAATCTGAATCTTCTCTCTTTTTTTCCGTACAAGTCTAGCTAAAGATTTGTCAATATTGTTGACTCTCTGTAGGAATCACTTTTGGTTTCAATGAATTTCTCTATAGTTTTTCTATTCCCTCATTCATGTACTTCCACTCAAATAGTTATTAGCTTCTGAATTAACCATGTCTTTTTATTTTCTGTATTTCTGCTACTTTGACTTTTGGAGCCTTGCTGCCACTGGAGGATCTGGGCCGCCAATAGTTAGCCAATGCATAGAGATAGAAAATTTGCCTGTGAGAATACCCTTGTATGCAAATTGACCCAGTCAGTGCTTGTAAACTAATCACTTTCTCTACCACACTTAGGACCATAATCCCCCTGCCCTAATCATTAGGTACAGCCCCTACCCTACAGAGCCACTGAAATATTCAAACTAGGCAATCCTAAATTTGCGTAACCTGATCTCACTCTCCTATCATACAAACCACAATAAAGGATCTTGTCTACACTACCCTTATCCCACCTCAACTCCTGACCAATCCGTGTTTCCCCAAGTGCCCCCATTCTCTGACATGGCATGTCCCCTCTTAAGATCTGTAGTATAACAAACTATCCTTCCAATGGCAATCATCTACTGATCTACTGGACTCCTACTTCTATCTCAGATAGTATTAATGATAATCTTTCCCTTTTTTGTATTTAAAGTAACATTATATTACTACACAGTTTGTTTCAGAGGTATAGGATCGTCCCTTGAAGGTGTTGTGACTACAACACACCCACCATCAAAGCACCCACAGTGTACCAGATAACCTTTCTAAAGATTTTGGAAGAGGAAATAAGGAAACCAAATGAAAAAGTTGAGGACTATCAGCAAAATCTGTTACACTTTGCACTTATATAGCACTTTTTTTTTTTTTACAGATTATAGAAAAAGTGTTTTAACATCCATGACTACATGTAAATAAAAATCTTAAAAGATCTTGAATATTACTTGCAATACAAATAGAGACAACTAGTACTAAGTTGGCAAAAACAAAATACCTGGTAGGTGTTGTCAAAACTGTCATACATGAATCTGGTGATCAAAGATGTCTTTCCAACTGAAATATAAAGAAAAAAAATTCACTCAGTTAACACATTGCATTGGGGTCTCAAGTAATTCTTCTACAGAGAACTGCAGGTAAATTCAATGGAAAATATCTGCAATGATTCCACTAACAAGTTTGTTGAAATCATTATTTCCAGTAAGAGATAAGTTTTATCTCTCAAATTAAGAGCACAAATAAAAGAATATTTTGTTAAAATTTAAAGGAAATGAATACTAAGGAATACAAAAGCAAAAATAAACAAGTGAAACTGTGTCAAACTAAAAAGCTCTGTGCAGGAAAAAAAAACTATCATTAAAACAAAAACAAAACCTACTGAATGGGAGAAGATGTTTGCAAATGATTAATATCCAAAACATATATATATGAACATATACAAACCTCACACTTGCGAAAATGGCTATAACCAAAAAGACAAGTGTTGTCAAGGATGTGGGGAAAGGGAATCATCACACACTGCTGATGGAAATATAAATTGGTATGGCCATTAAGGCCAATGGTATGGAGATTAAAAATTGAGACTAGAAATACCGTATGACCCAGCTATCCCACTTCTGGTTATCTAACCAAAGAATAGGAAATCACAAATTCAAAGAGATAGATGCACCACATGCTAAATGCAAGGACTACATGTTAAGTCTATCACTTGTAAGGCCATGGTTATTGGTTTGTTTTGATGTGCAATAATGCAAAAAATAATTTAACTTTTTAAGTGTCTACCTCAGATACTATACTGGTGTTTTACAGGGCAATGATGATCTTGATAACTCTACAAAACAGGCAATTTTACTTCCATTTTCAAGAAAAGATAAACTCAGAAGTTTAGTAATTGTCCCAGTAATCAATTAGTTCTCTGCTAAAAAGTGATTCCATTCCATTTATAAACAATGATCACGTTCTTTTCAATATACTGCTTTCCTTTGCTATTTAAAAAAAAAAAAAAAGTGGCATGGTCATAATGACAGAAGAGCTATTGTACTACCTACCCAGTCTTTTTTGTCAGGTCTTAAAGAACCTGAACACAGACTATAAGAAAACAGAAAATGAAAGGGAATATATACTTGAAAGAAAAATTTAGCCTGCAACTTTTAGCCCTAAACACTACCTAAACTATTTAAAGAAACAGAAACCCACAATCTAATTGATTTGAGGACTCAGAGGACAAAGTTCAGGGCTCTCAGAAAGTTAGAAAGGTTGGGAAAAGGCAAGTCCTGGCCAGGAAGAAGCAACAAAGAAACTGAAATGAAAAGTCCCCACTTAAAACATGTCCAAATCCTTGGCTGATCTCCTCACTGCCTATTAGAACGTGATGAGGAACTTTCAGGATTCCCAGTAAAAAAGCAGCAGCTGGATGTTAGAAGAATTGAGGTGCTGTTGTTCACCACAAGAAGGTTTAGAATTTGAATCCAGCCAAGACATTGCCTTCTAAGAGAACAACCACCCTTTGGAGGAAAAACAAAATTCAATTTCTATATATATTCTTCATCAAACCCAGTATCCAATTAAAAGAAAATAATAATTAAAACTCTCAAGGAAAAAAAGTAAAAAAGCAGGCTCCCAAATGATCCAGATGATGTAGTTAGCAGACAAAGATGTATTTGTTGTTGTTTTGATCACAACAAATTGTACTTGCAGATTCAGAGAAGCAGCCAGTATTTACTTTTTTCATAAGTACATTTTTAAATTAAATTTTTCTTTTAACTTACTTAAAAGACATTGTGCCGAAAGTAAAGAGGAAGACCCAGCCCCTCCCAAAGCCCAAGCCAAAAAAAGCTTTGAACGCAAGAAAGCAGTACTAAAAGGCATCCACAGTCACAGGGGGAAAAAGATCCACTGGTCACCCACCTTTCAGAGGCCCAAGACACTGCCTGCTCCAAAGGCAACCCGAATATTCTCACAAGGGTGCTCCCAAGAAAAACAAATTTGACCACCACACAACATCACATTCCCTGGGCCACCGAGTCAGCCACGAAGATGACAGAGAAGACAACACACTGTGTTCACTGTTGTTGTCAATGCCAACAAGCACCAGGCCAAACAGGCTGTGAAGAATGAGAAGAAGCTCTACAACACTGATGTGGCCAGAGCAATACCCTGAGATAAAACCTAACGGGGAGAAGAAGGCCTATGTTCCACTGGCTCCTGACTATGATGCTTTGGATGTTTCCAACAAAATTGGGGTCATCTAAACCATCTAGTCCAGCTGGCTAATTCTAAATATAATTTTTTACCATAAAAAAGATGTGTTCAAAGTAAAAATTGCAACAATGTATTGCAGAATTTATAACATATATAGATGCAATATGTGAGAACTATAGCATAAAGGTAGGAGATAAATATATACACTAATGAAAAGTTTCTCTTGTTCATACGAACAATGTAATATAGACTGTGAGAAGATGCCTATTATAAGCCCAAGTGCAACCACTAAAAATATATGCAAAAATGAATATTTAAAAGCCAATAGGGGAATCAAAATGAAGTATTAAAATAAGAGCAAAAATCAAGAGAGACAAATAAAAGACAAATGGCAAACCCAAATCCAAGCATATCAATAAGTATCTGAAAAGCACACTTAAAACTTCAATTAAAAGACAAAGATTGGGGCCTCCCTGGTGGTGCAAGGGGTTAAGATGCAGCACTATGAAGCTATCTGCAGCCACTGCAGCACAAGTTCAAATCCCGGGCCAGGGAGGTGACACATATGGCACAGCAGGCCTCTCCTGTCTCATCCGCTGCTCCCTTCAGCAGTGTCTTTCAGTAGATCTGCCTGTTCTGCTCCCCACTCTGTGTCTGGTGAATCCTCTCACCACCCCGCACCCACCACCCCGCATCTCTGGCCTACACCCTAGCTCTTGTATGCATAAATAATCTTTAAAAAAAAATAAAAGACAAAGATCGTCAGATTGGATAAGAAAAGACGTATTTGCTATCTGTATGAGACAAACTTCATATTTTTAAATTAATATTTTTGTGGAGGCAACACTGGTTTACAACACTGTGTATGCTTTAGGAATACAGGTTCATACCTCTTCAAAGCTATGTTAACATACCACACCCACAACCAAAATGCCAAAAACCTCCCACCACATTTCATTGGACCCTCTTCCATCCTATGCTCCCAATCCTCTAGCAACCTCAGTTCTGCAACTGGATTCCATGGGTTTGTTTTGGTTTGAGACACACTTTAAATTCAAAGAAACAAAAAAGTCTAAAGCACAAAGACGTAAAACTCCCCCAACAAAAAAGTGCAGGTCTACATGGTTTCACTACTGAATTTTAATTGAACATTTAAAGAAATAAACTCTTTTAGAATAAAAGGGATACTTTCCAACTCATGACATGTGACCTGCATAATCAATTCTATAAGACTTGACAAAGACATTACTAAAACAGGGGAAACTAAGGACCAGTATCTCTCATCAACACAGATTAAAAATTCCTTAACACAATATTGGCAAATCAAATGCACCTATATACAAAAAAAAGACATTTTGTAAGCAGGTAGGGATTATCCCAGGAATAAAATTAATCATACAAAATAAATCAATTAATTCCAAATAACAGAAGAAGAAAATTCTTAAGATTATTTAAATATATATACAAATAAAGCAAATAACAAAATTCAACACCGATTCATGAAGAAAACTCTAAGCAAACTAGCCACAGAAGGAATCTGAATCAATTGGATAAAAAGCATCTACAAAGAAGCTACAGTTAACATTATATGTAAGGTAAACTCCAAAAGCTTTCCTCCAAAGAATTTAGAAAAGGCAAGGCTGTCCAGTCTGACCAATTCCATTCAGCATGTACTAATAATCTTATCAGTTCCTATAGGAAACAGTATGGAGGTTTCTCAAGAGATGAGAAACGGATCGGCCATACGACACGGCAATTTCTCTCCTAGGAATCTACTGCATGAAAGGAGGCCTCCCGGTTGGCACAGGTAGGGATTCAGCGCAGCGCTGTGAAGCTGTCCACAGCCCCTGCAGCGCCAGTTCGATTCCAGCAAGGCCAGGGAGATTCCCTCATGGTGGAGCAGACCTCTCCTGTCTCGCCCGCTGCTCCCCTCAGCAGAGTACTTCAGTCCTTCTGCCTGTTCTGCTCCCTGCTCTGCCACTGGTGAATCTTTCACCCTCCTGCGCGCCTCTGACCCGTACCCCAGTGCTTGTATAAATAAATAAATCTTTAAAAAAAAAATGCATGAAAGGAAACATGCACTCCCATGTTCTTTGCAGTAGCAGTTACCATAGCCAAGCTATGGAAACAACCTAAGTCCTCAACAGTCTTTCAAAAGTAGCAAGCAAGCAAAAATGGTAGATCAGTGGTTTCCTGGGGTCAGAAGGCAAAGGGAGGAGTTTTTTAGGGATGATGGAAAGTTCTTTAATTTGTGGTAATGGTTGCATTGTTAAGATTCACTGAATCATACACTTTAAATAGGTGCAGCTGACTTTATAAATTATTCCCCAATAATGCTGACAAGGAAAAATAATCTGTCACAAGACAGTCTCAATAAAACAAATAATATAAGGTTTCATTTAAGTAACCTTTCAGTGTTTAAACTCCTAAAAGTTTCAACCTGTAGAGCAGCATCTCCTTGCTGACCTTAACACCACAGTAAGAAATACATATTAAATTTCAATCCAGTACACAAAAACTGAAGGTTTTTTTTTTTAAGTTTTATTTATTTATGCATAAGAGAGCTGGGGTACAGGCCAGAGGTGTGAGGGGGTGAGAGGATTCACCAGAGACAGAGTGGGGAACAGAACAGGCAGATCAACCGAAGTACACTGCTGAGGGGAGCAGTGGATGAGTCAGGAGAGGTCTGCTGTGCCATGTGGGTTTCTCCATGGCTGGCCAGGGATCGAACTCATGCTGCAGAGGCTGTGGACAGCTTCACAGGCTATATCTTAACCCCTTGGGCCACCAGCGAGGCCTTGCTATGGAAAATGCAGTCTCTCCCAATTGTTTTATTCACTGATTCAAAACTTATT